TTTTTAAATAAATGATTTGATTATTTCGAAAAATAATACTTTGCGTAAAATAATTTTTTATTTCTTCTTTTTTTGTTAGATTAAATTAAAATCGACCTTTCATTTTCATGCACACGTTACATATTACATATGTATAATAGTATACTTATTATTTTATTTTTAAACATATTTACTTAAAAAAAATTATTTGTAATTTTAAAAATTTTAATTTTATTAATAATTTTTTAATCCATTAGAATTTCTTTTTTTATTTAGCAAATACTATCTATTCTAAAAGCCACGAATGGCTTTCTTTTATTATATATATATATTTTTTTATTTTCTTCGAATTGTAAGTCATACGAACAAAGATAAAAGAAAATGACGATAAATCACAAATTATATTGTGGTGACATGCTTTACCGGTAGTAGTCCTGATTCGAAGTAGCTCCATGTCGTACCGTTATTTCGGCTTCAAAGTTTTGTAACCGCGTGACCCAGACCCATGAAGCGATCAGCGAATGCCAAAGACCAGACTAAAGCTAGTAACGTGTTTACTCGTACACGCACGCAGCAATTAACCGAGAATTCTCAACCTTTTCATCTATTCGAAATCTGGATTCTTTCCCGGAATTCATTTAATCTATAATTTATATTTAAAAAGATTTTTAATAGCTATAAAATGTAAAAATTATAAAAGAATTATAAATAATTACATAATTATATTATTTTTGCATACTTCAATATTAAAATATATAAAATTATTATCATTTAATATCTTATATTCAATATTCAATATTTTAATTGAATCATATAATTAATCCTTGTTGTATTTATTATATCCTTACAAGTAACTTTAATTTAACATCTCTATGAATAAATGAGAATTTTTTTTATGAATTTTAGCAATTTTTTTATAACGTGGTATTATTTTAATACGATTTTTTCAATATTGAATTAATATTGCATGAAATTTTAAGAATTAATAAAAATGTAATTTCTTTTTTTTTTTATTAATTTAATAGATAAAATTTATATTTTATTTAGTTATAAATAAGTTAATTTTTATAACTTATTTATATTCCTGGAATCTAACTTTCGTTATTATATGAAAATATTATTTAGTTTAGTTCATTAAAAACAATTATTTCTGAATTTCTGAATTTAAAATTATTCGAATTTTTAAATTTAAATTTAAATTTTTAAATTTTTAAATTTTTAAATTTTTAAATTTTTAAATTTTTAAATTTAATGATTTTCTAAAATTATATATAATTTTATAAAATAATCAAATTTAACCTTTTTTTATTGCAAATTTTTTTTCTTTACACTTATGCTTATCTTTTATCGAAAGTTAGTTGCGAAGAAGTGACATAGATTTAGATTAAAAATTTGATCTTTATTGTTAATAATAACTTTTGTACAACCAATTAAGAAGTTTAAATTGAAAGCTTGATGAAATGACTTATAATTACGTAGAAAGTGAGCGGAAGAAAAGATTAAACATCGAGTGAAGAGATGTGTGTATGTCTAATCGAAATATATTGTGAACCGTTGCACGCGCAAACGCGTTTGTACTAGCTTTAATTAACTCGTTCGCACGAAACGGTAACTCGATGTCTCATGAGAAACACTACCTTCTCGAGAGTTCGAATAGAGAATACACAGTGGCTTTCTCCCTATAAATCGAATACATAGACATGGATTCAAAATTAAATTAACGGATTCCCACTAGATATTTGATTGAAAAGAATTAAAGGCGAGAAGATTGTAAATTAGGATCGTTAAGATTCTCGATTTGAAAATCTAAGGCCAGTTCTTGCAATCGGCCTTGAAGTATCGCCGGAAACTTATTCCATGAATTACACGACTGCGTTATAATCGCCTTTGCGATTGTATCGCTCATATATACCACTATTCACGAGATTTACGTTACCATCCTTCTCTGTTTCCATCTTGATATTTTTGTATTTCCATGTAATGTTACGGCAATCAAACGAATTTTCAATCATAAATACAGGAAATTTAAATGGAAACTTAAAAATGTCCGGTTTTCAGAATACATATTTTCTGAATATATTTAATTTTTAATGATTTTTTTTAATATCGTATCGTATATTATAATTTTTTCTTAAAGAATTAAACCATCAATGTAGTAAAATAATAAATAATAATAATAAGAACGAAACATTGAGTGAAATAATTTGATTATTTAGAATATCTCGCTTTTTTCTATATATCAAAAAATATTTCAGATTAAGTGATGGAAATATAATTTGATGAATAATGATTTTTTGGAAATGAACATACTATGAGTTATATAAAAATCAATTTAATTTTTGTAAATGAATTCATAATTCACTTGCATTAACAATGCAGCATATTGTTTTTTTATAAAAAAATTATAAATATATATTTTTATAAAAAAATATTAATTTAAGAGATAAAATTAATTGAAATTTTATAAAAATTATTATATGAAAGACAATTAATAATACTTCATTGTATTTTTGTCAAAATTAGTTACAAAAACTTTGACTAGATTAATTTGATTTTATGATTGAGATTATGTATCTTTATATTTTGATAAAAAAATATGTAGTTGTATATCATATTATGTTATTATATTATATATTATTATAATTATTTTTTATAAATTATCTATTTTAAATTTTTTATTATTCTATTATATTACGTTATGCTAATTTTTTTGAATTAGCATCATATTTTAAAACTATATCATAATTGTTAAGATGATTTAGTTATAATAGTAATGCATTTGTTGTAACGTGTAAGAATATATTATTTATTTAAAACACCACAAATACTTCAAAAGTATCACTAAAATATAAAAATATTTGTGATTCACATTTATTATACTATATCTACATATTTTAAATATATTACATACATCTTTAAATACAATAATGATTTTTAATTGTTGCATCCATTATTGCTTACATTTCTTAACAATATTGATAAATATTAAATATTTTTATGTTTTTTAAAATTATAATTAAAAAAAATTGCTTTCGCGACACATTTAATCTTGCCATTGTTTATATAGTTAGAAAATACAATTATATCTATTGTCAAAAGTTTAAATTATAAATCACGATAAACAATTGTATGTTTTCATCTTTTGAGAAAATCGAGAAAAGAAACTGTGAAATGTAAGGTATAGAAGAAATACCGAAGAGGCGAAAAATAGAGATAGATAAATATTTTAAATAGTTGCACGAAATTCAACCGTTTCTACTTTCATGAGAATACCTTGAGAATACCATGAGAATTTTACGGTAAATCATAAATCGCACGTGCTCGTACATGCACGTCGATTTCCATCGGCTTCTAACTGCTAGGCTTTTCACTATAAGAAAAAGTTTCTCAAGCTACATACGGTCTTGCCGATACTTCCCGTACTCAGAATCAACCATAACTTTATATCACTACATCTATTCTATACACGACCTACTAATTTTTATCCTTTTGCAGATGATAGAAAATCTTTCGTACAATTTCCCGACTCATAGAATTCGAATAATGGGGTAAGCGTGGGATTTTGATCAAGGTTTCTCTTTGCTTCGTATCACAGCCATTGTCTGACTTATTTTGAAAGTGAAGTATGACTTATAAACTTGAATGTAATGTAATACCTGTGTCCTTGACTATCCTCGACTTGACAAGAATATTTTTACGTAATGAAAGTTAGAAATTAAATGTGAAAGTAAATGTTATTAATTATCAAGTAATAAGAAATTCTTGTATGCATTTATGTGATATTTAAATTAAAGATATTCGAAAATATAAGCACTCATTATTATTATTTCTGCTAATTATATCCTATGCAGCATTCGTTAGAAAAAAAAAAAAAAAAAAAATTAAAATCTTACATCGAAAAGTAAAATCTTCGATCGAATATATTTTTTTTTTTAATATTCTAGGAATATTAAATTGATATTTGCAACCTTTAGCAAAAATTGTAATTGAAAAGTAATCAAAATTCTGTCTACCATAGAAACTACGCTGTCTAGCGTAAATAATACTGTTGAAATTAAAATTCTAGCTTAAAAAACCGTGAACTTTCTACTAAATATTTAACATAGCATTAAAATACCATTACATCGATTCATTAAATGAATATAACTACGCCATAATCAGCCTTTTGAATATTTTATATTAAAATTTTTTAATGTATTTTTAGTTTTTAACATAAGATTTTTCATTGAGAATTTTATTTCTTAATATTTTCCTTTTATTTTAAAATAACTCATTTTTATCTAATAATTACAAAAAATTTTAATAATTATTATAAAATATCACTTTAATTGTAAGAATCTTTGAATACGTTTAATTTTTTTATCTAAAATTTTTACATAAAGAGATTAGACTGGTAATGATAGAATGTAACCTATTTAAAAATATTTTAATACACAAAACTTTTTAAATAATATAGCTATTATTATAGAATAATTAATATATAAAATAAATAAGATAAATAAAATAATCATACTTCGAATATTTAATTTAATTCTCATGATAAGAAAAATATTTCAGATAAAAATTAAATGTAAAGAAATACATAATTTAGTGCTGATAATCTTTTTATTGATAGGTATAGAGATCATAAAATCAATTTTATCTTGTTAATAAAAGTCAATTATGTATCTTTTCTTCCTGTGCCATTCCAATCAATTTTTATTTATTTGAAACATATTTTGATTACTAAAATCAATTAAAATTAAGATATTCTAGATTATAATATAATTCTATATATAATCTAGAATATATATAATATAATTCACCATATGTCAAAAATTAATAATGAAATAAAATAAAGATACTTTTTTTTACTATATATAATTTCTCTGATATATAATATTGAATATATTTTAATACTCTGATACTTTTCTTGCAACTAATTATAATTAATTTTTTTCTTACCAAAACTATCGTTAAAATATTTTCTAAAATATATTTTCTAAAATATAGAATTATTAAAGTGCGGCCATCCAGCTGTACCAATGAATGCCAAGGTGTCATTGTCCGATGAATCCTTAGCAACAGGCACTTTGGCGACATATACTTGTGATGCCGGATACGAATTATTTGGGTAAGTGACTCTTTAGAAATATCCGTTCTTTGTGGAATATTAAACGTCATACTTAAATAACTTACAAAAATTCATTACGTAGGTATTGCATGGTGGATAAATTATAATAAGATTAAATTAATTTAATATAATATTAATTATAATAATTATTAATAATTAGTAAAGAAAAATTGAAAAGAAAATATTATTTTTATATTTTTCTCGCAATATATGTATTAATAAATAGGATTTTGATTTCTAAAAATTTAAGAAATAACTTTTCAAATCAAAATAAGACATTTTCAGTTCCATTTTTTAATTGACAATTATAAAAACTTATAAGACAATATCTTATAGACGAAAACAATATATACGAAAATATCTTAAGCAGTGAGAATTTTTTAAAATTATTCAATCGAGTATCAAAAATAGGTATAGAAACATTCACAAAAATTCAATTTTTTTTAAATGAATAAAGATTGATGAATAAAGGTTGATATTCAAGTTGCAACCAAGTGAAACGAAATCGTTTATATAGTACGATAGTCGTCAGTGGCATTACTTACTCATTATAAACTTTCTCCATTTTATAATTCGTATGATTGACGATATTTGTTTACGTGTTCGTGTTCCGTTCTCTTGTCGTGCATTGTTTATCATAAAGTAAAGAATTTCGGTTCTTATTTCATTTAATTATTATTTGTTCAGCAGTGGCAGTTTAACATGCAATGTTCGTGGAAAATGGCAAGGAGATCTACCATTTTGTGGTAAGCATTCTATAATCAATTCAATTTTATCTTTATCTTATTATTTTTATTTCACCTAACCTAACTTCACAACACTGACACATTCGATTACGCGTCTCTCTTGACAATAATATTATATGCAACTTTCTCTTCAATACACATTGAAACAGTTTCGTGAAAGAATCAGTTGTTCTTTACGATCGAAGAAATTTAACTTTTTCTCCTTAAAATGCAAAACGTAGTTACCTTTCTGCCAAACTAGAAAGTAATTTTTAGTATGCTACGAGATACTCTCGTTAAAATACATCGACCTTTGGTATGGATATTGGTCTCACTTTTTTTATTGGTCGCGTTGCGACGTTTCACTTTTGCCGGCAAAATTGGTTTGAAACGCTGATGAGAAGAAAGTTTACGGAGGACGGTTTATCGGTAAAATGTTACGCAAGCTTTTATTCGGTGACAGTTAAGCCTCGTACTACCAACTGCAATACCGGTAAACCGTGTCGCGTGGAAATTATTTTAAACGACCGGCCGAGAAGAATGCGGAAAAATGATAAAGTCAGAAGATGAAACACAAAATACTTACTACCTGCAACTTGGTGAAACTAACGCCAAGTAATCTTTCTTTTTATTACTGAATTAAATATTGAACTATGTTTTAAATATTGTATATTATATCAGATATTGAGTTTTATTTGCTTATTATGAAGTAAGCTTATTATGTTTGCGAAAAATTATATAAATTATATATATAAATTATAGCATTATGGAAAATTTGATCATTTATTGTATAGAAAAATAATAGAAAAATAAATTTTAGCTATTGAATGATTAGAAAAAGTAAAAGTATTAAATTTGTTTTTAGATTAATTAATTTTTAATAATTTAAAAATATCTTATAGATATTTAAAAATAAAGAATCTTAAATGTTTATATCTAGAAATTTTTTAGAAAAATCATAAAGAATTGAATGTTATAATTTTGATACATTTCTACGACTTAAACTTTTAATTAAAATAAATAAAATAATAATCCAAATTGAATTTGATTATTTTTGATTTAATAATGTGTTACAATTGATTATAAAAAAAAAAAATAAAATCAAAGACATAATAATTTATTTAATTAAATATGCATTATTGCAGGCACAAATGTAGCTTTTCGCAAGCCAACAAATCAATCGACAACTGTGCGAGGCGGAGATGCTAGTCACGGAAACGATGGAGATTCGAGCACAGAGCACGATGGAAAAAGATGCACCGAAACACAAAGCGAGCCTAGCCCTTGGTGGAAAGTCGATTTATTAAAATCGTATTCGGTAAAAGTCGTTAGGGTAACGACCAGAGGTTGTTGTGGTAATTTTCCTTTCTATTTTTCACATGTATTTATATATTTTCTTTTTTTTTTTACAAATGATTTACAAATGATAAAATTTTTTTTATTTTTTCATAAAATTTAAATACTTTTTTATTAGTTAAAAATAGCATGTTTAAAATATTATAGTCAATAATAAACAATAAGCTGTTGAATCGAAATTAGAATTTAATTTTCATTTTTTCATTTTCAAAAGGTCACCAACCTCTTCAGGATATCGAAATACGTGTTGGTAATAGTAGCATAGAATTACAACGTAATCCTTTATGCGCCTGGTTTCCTGGCACAATTGGTAAGCAACTAAATTAAGCCTTTAATTATGTGTATCATTAATGAATAATAAAATGAAACTTCAGTGCTATAATATATACGGCAACAAATGATTTTAAAATTTTAATCGAAATTGAGATTTGCGGAATTTTTATATTATTATTCCAAATTGAGACATAAATAAAATATTTTTATATTATATTATATTACATAGTATTATATGTAAAAAAAAAAATTTTTATCAAATTTTTTAACATTCCAAAATAAATAAAATATTACTTTATTTATTATGAATTGTGAATAAATATAATTTTTTTCCATAAAACAAATGTTAAGTTAAATTAGATGTATTTATAGAATTGATAGTTTATAGAAATTTTTATTTAAAATTAAATTCATTTAAAAAAACATCAATTGATGAAGTCATTTTTTACGTTCCTGAAAAAAGATTTTTTAAAATATATATATATTTGTAGCTAAATGATTAAAATATTTATTCAAAAATTAATTTTTGATCAATCAATTGATTTTACAGAGGAAGGAATTACAAAAACGTTTATGTGTGCCAGAGCTCTTGTTGGTCAATATGTATTTTTGCAATTAGTTGGTGTGGAGGGAAGTTTGAGTCTATGTGAAGTAGAAGTATTTGCTGTTGACGGTAAGTATATAAGTTTATAAGTGTAAGTTGCTATCAATAATCTATCAAATAAAATTCCTGTAGAAAAGTTTCACTTGGTTTTTCGTAGAGTTCTCAACAGACAGATGCGCTTATAGCGGAACGCCAGCTGACGCCGATTTGGCTGCTTTCAATTCCACCTGTTATGAATTCGTTGTCAAAAAAGGCGATTCTTTTCAAGAGGCCAGAAATTACTGTCGTGCAAGAGGCGGTGATCTTGTTCATGGTTTCAAGGTTTCTATGCAAAAATTTTATATTATATATTATAGTTTTATTATTATTATTTAATTATTAGTTAATTTAATATTTTCTTGTATTAAATTCCAACTATAATCTTCTATTGTAATATCTATATTTTTTGTAATACAGGATGCAGCTTCCGTATATATATTAAACAATCTCGAAAGGCGGAAAGACAAACTGAAGACTCAGCTAGTTTGGATAGGTGCTCAGAAGGAACCTTTGATAACGGCGCGAATATGGCGATGGGTTGACGGTGCATATATATTGCTTTTTAATCTCTTTGATTTCTGTTTGATTATACATTGTCTCGTTTATACATTAATTACGGTCAACATTTTTTTTCTCTTCTCACGATTGATCGGTAACGTTTATGGGAACCGGGTCGAAGAGATACGATTAAGTAACACCGGTTGAATTCATCGACCCATATCAATCAATTTACTTCGTAATTATGCGATAATTATGCGATAATTATAATATTTCTCTTGATTCGAAATTCATTTCTCGATTAGCTATAAAGATCTGTGAAATCAAAGATTGTCTCAAAACAACTGACTGTCGGTGCAATAGTACGCGCTAATAAATAGAACGTGAAAGTTAGTACTATGAGGAAATGAACGGGAAGTTACACTCACGAGCGTCTATTTGAACGTATAATCTCTGTTTATTCTTCTTGTGTTTGGATCGAACAGACAAAAAAATTTTTTGAATTTCTAATATTGGAAGCAAATTAAATAACAAATGTACTATTGCGCCGATAGTCGGTTGTTTTGAAACAATCTTTGATTTCACTATGACTAATTGAGAAACCAATTTCGATTCAACAGAAATATTATAATTATTGCATAATTACCTTTTAATTTATTTGATAAATGATATGTTTGAGAAAATATATTTTTTTAAAGATTACAAAATGATTTATAAAAGATTTATAAAATTTTTTATTATTTTCAGGTGAGATTGTACAAAAACCATCTTGGGGGAAAGATCAACCAAATAATTATAACGGCGAGCAAAATTGCGTAGTGCTAGACGGTGGTCGTAGCTGGCTATGGAATGATGTTGGCTGTAACCTTGACTATCTGCATTGGATATGTCAAAGCAGTAAGTATATACATTAATAATCATAAATCTGCATATGTATAAATGCAGAGAATTATGTATATGATAAATCCATTTGCACGTATTTGATGTTTATACAGAAAAACAAAAAGGTGTGGCTCATATAAAAATTTTTTTTTAATATATGTATAATATAATATCTTTATTTATCAAGGGCCACCTACTTGCGGTAGTCCAGAGAAAGCTGAGAATACAACAATAATGGGCACTAAACGAACCATAGGATCTATAATAGATTATGTTTGTCCTGATGGATATATGCTAATAGGTTCGAAGAGCAGGACGTGTGAATCAACTGGATTTTGGAGTGACGAGCCAGCCACGTGCAAGTGTAAGTTTAATTGCACGCACGTCTCTACGCGAGCTGCATAATTGCTTGGATAATGATAATGTACTTGGTGATTAATAATCATGTGGCATATACTAACGTCATATTTTAAATGCTTGTAGTTGTCGATTGCGGCCCTCTGCCTGAATTGGAGAACGGTGTAATCACACTGGTTGATAACAGAACAACTCATGGCGCACTTGCTGATTACGTGTGTAAAGAAAACTACACATTGCTCGGTGATGTCAGACGTAGATGCGGAGATGGTGGTATTTGGAGTGGACATCAACCTCAATGTTTATGTAAGAAATTGATTTTAATAAATATATTACTTATAATAACAATAGTTATAATTTACAATATCGTTTATTATTTTTCAGTTGATTGGTGTCCAGAACCACCACAAATTAACGGTGGAGTCGTGACAAATACTGGGAGACGAGCAGGATCGACAGCTACTTATTCTTGTCAAAATGGATTCATTTTATTCGGAGATAATGTAAGTAATTCTGAATATAATTCAATTTATTATATTTAAATTTATTTTAATAATTTCTCTTATTTGTTATGCATAAGCCGTAGGCTATTTCAAATAGAACTTTCATTATGTATATCTTTCACCTCGATTACAATTATATTATATAAGAAAATTTCAAAAGATTTACGCAAACGATTATTTGAACGATTATTCTACGAATACTAAATACATCGATAATCAATTTTGAAAGGTTCTTACCTGTGACATTGGTGGAGAATGGTCTGGTAAAGCACCTCAATGCCGATTCGTTGATTGTGGAGCACCAGCTCAAATCGAATTCGGTTCTGTGGCTCTAATTAATGGCACTACTACAGTTAAAAGTTTGGCTGTATATACATGTTCAGAAGATTATTGGCTGGTTGGCGAAGCGAAACAAAAATGCACCAAAGAAGGAAAATGGAGTCATGATACGCCGTCTTGCGAATGTAAATTTTTCAAGTTTTTTGAAATGCATTATATTATAGCAAATAATTTGAAAATTA